GGCAGGGGGAGCCCTGATTTCCTTCCTTGAAAGTCATGTGTGTCCCTGAGCTGGAGAAGAGACAGCAGCAGACAGTACCTGCCCATGGAGAAGCTCCAAAAGAAGCTGTAGGAGCGAGAACAGGCCTTTCCAAGCTGTGTGTATCAGCTATTTATTGCCGCTTAACAGTCTATCCCAAAATGCAGTGGCTTAAAACATCAACCCTTTTATTATTGCTCAGGAGTCTGCAGGTGGGCTGGATGGTTCTGAAGTGAGCTAGTGGGTGGCTGGGCTGGATGGTCTCAGGTGGCCTCACTCACGTGTCTGGCAGCCAACTGGCCCCAGGACCTCAGCTGGGATGACTTGTCTCTGCTGCACATAGTTTCATTATCCAGTATGTCATAGTCTTGGGACAGCAAGAGAGGACACGCTCGAGCATGTAAGTGCTTTTTAAAGACTCTGCTTGGTCATATTTGCCAGTGGAAGTTGGCAAAGAAGTCATCAGGCCAAGCCCAGCTAGAGAACTTGACTCCACCTCCTGGGGGAGATGCTGCGCCATCCCAGTGCAAAGCGGCACAGGTCAGAGGGCGAGGCGTGTGTGTGGCCACTGTCTCAGTCTCTCCCAGCATGGGAGGCACATTGTCTGATAGGCTGAGCCATCTCGAAGTGGGGGGAGGCCCTGGAGTACGCGGGACTCAGTGCGCAGGCAGTGATGGGCCACCGTCCCAGGGCACAGCCTCCTTCCCGCCTCCCAGCTGACTTTAGAGGAGAACATGGCATCTCAAGACAAAACAGGACCAAGTCAGCTGTTTCCCTGGACCTTTGCCACACAAAATCCCATACAGGGTCCAGGCTGACAGACAACAGGGATTTGGGGGTGCATTGTAGAAACAGGCGTATGCCCCTCTGAAGGGGGTGCTGCTGCCCAGCTCCAGCCTGTGGTGATCACAGGGGAATTCCAGTCAAGGGTTGCTAGATCATATGATTTTTCAAGAGATACCAGGAATCATAATTTTCTCTTAAAAAAAAAAAAAGACTGGCATCTATTTCCAATTAAAACCAACAAGCAAAAACCATGTTAAAGTCACACAAGACAAATCTGCAGGCTGGTTTTGGCCTGTGGGCTGCTTGCTGGCTTGTGATCTCTGCTACATCCTTGTTCTCGGGTTTAATATTTGCCGTGTCAGTGGACTCCCAGGTGACCTCAAAGGCCCCTGGCGTGTGGTAAGGGGTCATTTGGCTGAGACGCTGAATTTGAGCCTTTTGAGTTCCGGCTGGTGGCCGGGAACAAGTCACCTGGCTGGTGAGCTGACCAGCAGCCCTGTGTCCTCCTGTCTTCTTGGCGACATGTGTTGTATTCATGGTAAATCTCCGGAATGATACGCTCTTTGTTTCTCGCAAGAGGGATGAAAGCCAAGGCCCGGTGAAGCGAAGGGAAAGAGATGTGAATAGAAGAGGGATGGTTTTCAACCAGAAAAGAGCCATTTGGGATAAATTAAAATGTGCAATTTGGCTTTTGCGGGTGGCACAATTTATTATGTGAATAAATATACACTCTCTAGATCTGGGGCAAGAATAAAATCCCCTCGCCCCTGCGTGTTCAGGCCACTGCAGAAATGGCTCACGCGAGCGAGCAGCGACAGCTTCAGAAAGAGTTGAAGTGTTGTCACCTTGTGTTGTGAAGCTCGCACAGCAAACAAGCCGGTTCACAGAAATGTCATTCCAGGGGACGTGGCACTGTGTGCAGACATTTCTGGAAGCCACGGGGGGGAGCGGGGCTGCGGAGTTCACCTTCACTCGGAGAAAGGGTGATTTGATTTTTGAAAGCATCTCCTTAGCATAATATGACTCTCAGGGCACAGGCAGTACCCAATGGTCCTGTTGCCGGAGGAGCTCTCCCTCCCAAATGAAGGACGCTTGGGGCAGAGGGTTCGTGCAGACACAGCTGGCCCCCTGCAAGAAAAACCTTCCTCACTGTCCTTCCTCCATGTCTAAGAAGAGGCGAGCACAGGGTTGCAGTGGCCAAAGACAGGTGGTCACCTCCACCCCAGCCCCAGACCACTGATGGCAGTAAAAAGGCCATGGTCCCCACCCAGCTCTTCTTAGACTGACTTCGTAAGTGCTCTGTGCTGGAAATGGAGAGGGAACTCAGGAATCTCTGGGACTGCCCAGCTTTCCACCAAGGCGGAAGGAGGGAGGTTCTGCCCCTCCCCCAGCGTCGGAGTGCTGCGCATTTGTTTAGCTATACACAGGATCTTAGTCCCTTATTTATAGAATCATCTGGGGCACAGATTTTCAACCTTTTCATCTCGTGGCCCACATAAACTAATTACTAAATTCTGCGGCACGCCAAAGAATATATTTTTTGCCAATCTGACCGAAAAAAGGGTATACTTTTGATTCATTTACACTGGACAGCTATTGTTGTGTTGGCCATTGCCATTTGTTTATTTGACAGTCTAAGGCAGTGGTTTTCAACCTTCCTAATGCCGTGACCCTTTGATACAGCTCCTCATGTTGTATGTGGGCGTGTCTGCATGTGGGCGGACCCGCCTGGAGACCACAGAGGAGCACCGCTTGGTTCCTAAGACCATCAGAAATATGTTTTTCGATGGTCTTAGGCGACCCCTGTGAAAGGGTTGTTCGACCCCCCAAAGGGGTCGTGACCCGCAGGTTGAGAACTGCTGGTCTAAGGGAAAAGAGGTCAGTGCCCTGACTCAATAGTCAGGTTGCATGTTTTAACATCGCTTGCGGCTTACTGGTTGAAAATCTGCGCTATAGGCTCTGGAGGGGTCAGGTGATTGAGGAGACAGTACTCTTTAGTGATGTGCACAGATACCAAGACTGACAAGGTTTGGGGTTGGAATAATTTTCCATCCATCTGACAAAAACCATAATGCCAGGTGCCGGTAAACAAGGTAGGCGTGGCCTCCTGGAGGAGTATGAGGCTCCAGGGCTTCAACGGCCTCCCAAGAACTGAGCCAAGACCTTGCCGCCTTCACTGCCCACCATGCTTCCCTTCGCTCCCTCATTCTGGCTCCCCTTGCCACTCTGCAGTGTGCCAGGCTCTGCCCACCTCCGGCCCATGGCACCTGCAGTCCCCTTGCTGGAACAGCCTCCCCATATGGACGTTCTCAAGGCTTATTGCCTTGCAGTCTCTGCTCGGATGTCACCTTCCCCTCCAGCATTGTGAGCCTTTGCCTTGCTTTGTTTTTCTTCTCAGCACTCATCACCACCTGCTGGTGTGCCCTGTGTGCACCTGTCCTGCCCCACGACTGTGAGGTGTGTGAGGACAGGGGTGTGCCTGTCGCCCCCCCTTCTGTCCCCCGAGCCCAGTGCTGCGTGTTACTGCACAGCCTGGTGAGGGTCACGAGCCTGTGTCCTTGGTGCCATGGCCCTGCCAGGAAGCATTTCTTTTTTTTTTTTTTTATCCTCACCCGAGGATATTTTTCCTTTTTTTTTTTTTTTTTATGGATAGAGTGGGAGGGAGAGAGAGGAAGGGAGAGAGAGAGAGAAACATCGACGTGAAGGGACACATCGAGTGGCTGCCACCCGCACGGCCAACCAGGGCCGGGGACAAACTGCAACCGAAGTACGTGCCCTTAGCAGGAACCGAACCCGGGTCTCTCTGAACCGCAGGCCGACGCTCTAACCGCTGAGCCAAACTGGCCAGGGCGCCAGGAAGCATTTCTGCTGCAGCTGCCCTTGGGCAAGTGCGTGTTTGCAGCTCAGGATTTTCCAGTGCAGTCCAGCGCAGCTCCCGGCCATGCCCTCCAGCCTCCTTTCACTCCTTTTTCCGGGCCGCCCAGCTCCGGGGACTGGATCTCTTTGGGCCCTGAAGGAGAAGATCGCAGTGTCGCCCTCAGCACCCTTGAACCCAGCGTGTTTCTGTTACAGCGAGTGTCCCCCAGTGAGGAGCTTGTTAAACTGAGCCCCTTCCAGCTTGTACCTTCTCTGCCTGTGTTTGCTTTTCCGCCCCATCCCTCCAGCCACAGGGTAGGCCAAGTAGCTGATAAGAAGGGCAAACAGGGAAAGTTAACGCAGCCGTGACGGGTGAGCAGAATCCCCGGGTCACTTTGAAGCAGCTCATTACTGATCTGTCCCCAGGAACAGCCCTGGGGCAGTGACAGAGTCCATAAGAGTCACAAGGTGACCCATTGCTGTTTACCGCCCAGGCCATGCATCCGTAGGCACGTGAGGGTTCCTTTGGGCGCCCGTGACCCTGCTGGGGAAGCAGCTGGGACTGTATTGGACCAGCCCTTGGGTTCTATTGGTCATGTTTCTTAAAAACTGGAGTATATTATAAGCAAATAAAACTGAGGGGATTTCACATACATTTAATATTTGAACTTTTCCTAAAAAAATAAAATGGTGCCTGGCTGGCGTGGCTCAGTGGTTGAATGTTGACCCAGGCACCAAGAGGTCGCTCCTTTGATTCCTGGTCAGGGCACATGCCTGGGTTGTGGGCCCAATTCCCATGGGTAGCATACAGGAGGCGGCCGATCGATGTTGATGCTTCTTTCTCATTGATGTTTCTATCTCTCTCTCCTTCTCCCTTCCTCTCTCTCAGAAATCAATAAAAAATATATTAAAATGAATGGCAATACTAGGAGCACAGCCCAAAGTGACAGGTGTCTCCTGGAGCTGGGTGTTGGCTCCTGCCTCGCGGCCCAGCCCCCCATTCAGTTTCACTCAGCTGCCTGTCTCCGGTCCCTGGGCTTTTGCATTCACAGCCCCTCTGCTGGGTGCCAGGTAGAAATTGGCAGCCCCTCATTTCAGCTGAGCTTTCCCATGAGAACCCCTAGTCCCCACCCAGCACCTGGCTCTGCTGGAAGCCAGCCCAGTGCAGCTGCGGTGTTTCCTTCATCTCCCAGCGCCACACTGGATGTGGCTACTTGAACTCTCCTGCAGACACAACATTCTAGCAAAACATAGCCGGAGGGTCACGCGCTCCAGTAGGAATGTCTCAAATCAACGTGATGGTTTCTGAGGTCCTGAGGATGGGAGGATGCCATTTTTCTTTTTGGTGCACCGTTCCTGGAGGTACTGCAGCAATAGCGGGTTGATACATGGAGTGGACGGAGCAAGCTCCTATTCCATCTCGCTGCTCCAAAAATCCATTTAATATATTGTCCTTGGATAGAGGACGTATCAGATATTAAACTGATAAGAACAGACACTACACTTGATCTTAGCCAAAAGGCCAAGAAGCGATAGGGTGCTGTTTTTCAATAAGCCTTATGCCCGGCCAGAGATCATACCTGTAAATTCCCACCCAGTTAGTTAGAGGTCAGTGTTAATGTCAGTCTTCCATACTGTTATTAAATGGGGCAACCCAGTGGCCTATGCTGAATTCACAACCCCAGCCCAGACTTCCCTCCCAAACTCCAGACGTGTACGTGCCAACTCAACAGCTCCACTCCGATGCCAACACATCTTGGACCCAACCATTCCAAACCTGAGCCCTCGCTCTTTGCTTCTCTCGCCGCTCCCCCCCAGCCCTCCCCGGCTCATTGCAAGCAGTCCCATCGTCCGCTCCCTCAGGCCCAGACTGCAGTCACCCTCGGCTCCTCCCTGTGCTTTCAGCCGCTGGACTCTGTCAGGTGACCCTGTGGCTCTGTCCTCAGCATAGAGGCAGAATCTGACCGCACCCCACAGCCCCTCCAGCTCCGGGCCTCACCGAAAACCGCATAGCCCCACCTACTGGTCTCTCTGATTTCATCCTCACCTCCTTCAGTCTGTTCTCCACCTAAGTCAGATGGAGTTGGACCCTGCTCTAAATCCTCCAGCGGTTTCCCGTTGTCCTCTGAGTAATGGCTTCCCAGCGTCCTCCAAGGCCCTGTGTGACCTAGCCTTCCCCACCCCCTCGGGCCTCCTCTCAACCTAACCCTTACCCCCTCGGCTCCAGCCCAGGGGACCTTGCTGTTCCACGGACACGCCACAGGCCTCTCACTTGGCCCGGAGCCTGGGCCATGCTTCCCTGGAGCTCCAGGACACCCGGCCTGCTGCCGCCACCCACCTCTTTTACCCTGCTCTGCTTTTCTTGTTTCTCCATGTCATTTTCCGCTAACTCCCGCTGCTGTTTATTCTTTCTCTGGCTGTTGTCTTTCTCCCCAGGGTGGGGGATCTTGATCTGTCCAATCACTGCTCTGTCCCCAGTGCCAAGAACAGAGCCTGGCAGAGTGGCACTCAATAAATATTTGCTGAGGGATGAAATTCAGTAGGTAAAAGCCTCTTTCAAGATCCCAGTAGAAACATGTTGAGCAGTTTTTAAATGGAAAAATTTTAAACATAGAATCCAAATAAAAATAATCGAGAGGATGTTATAGTGAGCCCCATGTGTCCGTTCCCAGCCAGTTTCATTTTCTCTGCTCCCCAGACGACTGTGAGGCAGATTTAAGCTCTCATCTCCTTTCACTGTAGATATTTCAGTGTGCTCGTCTTTTTGCAGCTACATAGTACTCCATCGTTAGGTGGATATACCATGATTTATTCAGCCAGTCTAATTGGGTGCTTTTTGCATTTCACTTTTTACTTTATAAAACCAATTTTCTACTATTGGAACTTCCCAAATCGACTGGGAATTTTTTTTTTTCTTAAATTGAGGAGTAATTTCTTTGTAATTCTTATAATCCCTGCCTAACAAAATAAAGTAAAAATGTTTCACCCTGGCCAGGTGTCTCCGTTGTTTGGAGTGCCATCCCCTACACCAAAGGGTGGGGTTTGAGCCCCAGTTGGGGTGCGTACAGGAGGCAACCGATTGATGTTACTCTTGCACATTGATGGTTCTCTCTCCTTTCCTCTCTCTCTAAAAAAATTAATAAACATATCCTCAGCTGAGGATTAAACAATATAAATAAATATCCACCTTTTTCCATGATATTCTATATTATTCCTTGTAAATACTTTGTTAGAGGGTTAATTTTAATAACTTGTTATTTTTATATAATTTCACACTTGAAGGAAAGTTGCGAAGTTAGTACAGATGACACTCCCATAAACCCTTCACCCAGGTTCACCAGTTGTTAACATTTGGTCCCAACTACTTTATAATTGCTGTGTATGTGTTTTGTTTTTTTTAATCATTTGAGATTTTTAAAAAATACATCATTCTCCTTTACCCCTGAACACTGCAATATGGACAGTTGCCCCTCTGTATCTGCGGGAGATTGGTCCTAGGATCCCCATGGAAACCAAAATCTGTGATGCTCAAGTCCCTTATACAAAATGGAGTCATTTTTGCATATAACTTATGCACATCCTCCTGTGTACTTTAAGTCATCTCTAGGTTACTTGGAATGCCTAATACAATGTCAATGCTGTGTAAATAGTTGTTATTCTGCATTGTTTAGGGAATAATGGCAAGGGAAAAAGTCTGAGCGTGTTCAGTGTCCAAGCAACTATCATTGGCCTAACTACACACAGAACACATTTGAATCAGCGGATGTGGAACCGCGGATACGGAGGCCCACTGTATCTCCTAAGGACAAGGGCATTCATTCTGTATTACCACAGTACACTTCAGTTATGAAATTCAGGCTAATTTAGCGTTACAGTACTGTTGTCTAAGCTACAGACTGTCTGGGTTCCCCCCTTGCTACAATGTGCTCTTCACAGCCAGCTTCCCCCTCAGTCCAGCGTTCAGTTGCCACGTCTGCCAGTCTCCTTTAATCTGGAACCGCTGTCCAGGCTTCTTTGTGTTTCATGACGTCGACCTTGTTCTATAGATTGTTCCTCATCTTCAGTGTAATGGTTTTCAAGCTGCACTCTGAGAATGCAGAGTGCGTTCTAAAGGGAGACCTCCTGTTTTCTGCCCTCAGGACCTGGAAGCCGACGAGAGAGACCCCTGTCAGCATCCCGAAAACCTGTGCTCCAGGCTGAGGACCCACGGGAAGACGCATCGGCTGTGCTCAGAGCCATCCAGGTGGAGAACGAGGCCCTGCAGAGGGCGCTTCTGAGCAGGAAGGCCGAGCCCCCCAGCAGCCCGCTGCAGGTGCAGGTGCATCCTCTGGGGGGGAGGGGCTGCGAAGACCCTTCTTCTCAGGGACCAGGCGGTGTCTGAGCGGTACTTGCATAGAGCACATAGTGAGGAGAGAGAATGTTGTCGGCATCCCTGACCTCACACTGACCTGCACAGTCATTGCTTACTGCACAGTCCCTTACCGACCCGCCAGGTTCCAATTCCTCCACCTTTTTCTCATTTTCTGTTTACTGCAGAAAACCTAGATTGGATGTTAATATGCCTGTAATCCTCGCTGATTTCCCTGCAAACCCTGGTACCTTAGACTGGGGCTGCAAACTGTGGGCAGGAGAAAGAGTGGAGTCAACGACAAGCTCTGGCTTCTCTGGAAAGATGTCATTCCCAGAGCACGAGCTGCCAGGCCTGCAGGTCCTCAGCACTCCTGCAGTCCGGCCTGGCCTGCTTCCCCTGCTTGCACCCTCCCTAGCCCTGCCGGGCTTTGAGTTTGTGCCTGCTGCCTTGGGCGTGGAGCAGTAAGCAGGAGAAATGGTGGGTGGCTGGGCCCCTTGGGAGCCGGAGGCCTTGGATATACCTTAGTGTACACATCCTTTCTCAGAAGCACGTCCCCTGACTCAGCTGCTGAAACCTGTGATCTTAGCTTGTCCCACTTGATGCTCACAGTAACCCCGACACAGGCAGCGCTGGCTTCATCACCCCGTTTTGTAGAGGTGCCTGATGGCAAGCAGGGTGGCTTTCTCAGATCATGTCTTTGGAAGGGGCCAGGTCTGCCTGCCTGGGAGCCTAGGACCCTGTCCACACCACCAGTTGCTCTCCAGTCTCCACTGCAGCCCATTCTTTGGGATGTTCATTGAGCAGCACCTGTTGTCTGTTTTCCTGGAGCTCAGTCCTGTGTCCTGGCGTTTGTGTCTGGGAGACAGCCCGGCACCCCTTCGCCCTCGCCTGGCTTTGTTCTGACCTCCGATCCTGTGACTGCATCACTGCAGGGCATGGAGGGACCGCCAGCAAAACCGTGGGCCAGTCTGCTGAAGGAGCAGGAGGGCCCTGAGGTCAGGGAAGGCCTGCGCGGAACAGCACACTCCTGCCCACAGCGCCTGACATTCCCCAGAGCTTTCCTCACGTGACCCCAGCAGGCCCCTGTGCTGCCTGAGCGCGGAGTCGTTCTGCCCACTTCACAGATGTAAGACTGGCTGCAGGGGCTTACAAAGGCTACGAGTGGAAGCCAGAACCCAGCCAGGCCTGCTGGCTCCAGTTTCTTGTTACATTTCTATTTCCTGACAAGACAACACCAAAATGGATCTTAGTGTTCTGAATAAATAAATAAATTATAAGTACATCTACCTAGGCCAATTAGGCCCATCTTAGCAAATACAGATGTGAATTAATAAAATGCCCAGGAGTGTCTTGGTTAGGTCGTGCACCATCCGTGCTATGTGCTCAGAATACAGATCAGGTTAGCCCCTGGCCTTGTGAAGCTTGCAGACAACAAGCAAATAAAGCCACAAGCAAACAGGTGACTTCAGAGAGAGATGACCTTAAAAGCTGACTGGGTATGGGACAGTGGCTGCCTCCGGCAGGGAGGTCCAAGGAGGCCCCCTGGAGGACGTCCCATTTGAGCTGAGCCCTGGCTGTTGGGGAGCCAGCCAGCAACAAGAGACAGCCTTTCAAGCAGAAGGAACGGGAAAGCTTTGAGCTGAGAAGGAGATGTCCGGGCCCAGGAGCAGGAGGAAGCCTGGCTCGTGGTGGGAAGGACGAGGGGTGGGAGAGGAGAGCACCTGCCTGGGATGGGAAGGTGGGCGCACTGGGGTCTCGTGCTCCTCCGAGCCGTTCTGTTTGCTCTGGGCACCTCAGCTGGCTGCTGTCTGCGGCAGGTCTGCAACACTCCCACCGTGGCCCAGGATTTCTGGGTGACCCGAGCCCTGACCCACAGAGCTTCCAATGACCAAGGTCATCTGCAGTTAGAGACCAGAGCACACACCAGTTTAAACGCTATGTGAAAAGGAAGGGAGAAAGGTGCGAGGGCCTAATGATGTTACTGGAATCCTCTGTGGAACCCTTTGCTCTGTAGCGGATACAACGGGTTGAGGTGAGGTGGGGAAAGGTATTGATGAAATTTGTTTTATTTTATTTTTAATTTATTGATTTGAGAGAGAGAGAGAGAGAGAGAGAGAGAGACACTGATTTGTCATTCCACTTATTTATGCATTCACTGGTTCATTCTTGTATGTACTCCGACTGGGAATTGAACTCACCACCTGGCATATCGAGACGATGCTCTAACCAACTTAGCTAACTGGCCAGGACCTAATTTTTTATTTTAATTTATTTTTTATTGACTTTTTTTAGAGAGAGAGGAAGGGGGAGAGAGATGGAAACAGCCATGTGAGAAACATCGATCGGCTGCCTCGTGCAGCACACCCCCCTGCTGGGGATCGAGCCCCTAACCCGGCCATGTGCCCTCACTGGGAATCGAACCGGGACCTCTCATTCCATGGGGTGACACTCAGTCCATTGAGCCACGCCAGGCTATTTTTTTATTTTTAAGGGCCCTTGGAGCTCACCTTGAGGGAAGAAGAGGGGAAGACAATGGGCCAGAGAGACAGAGAGCGTGCACAAGTGCACACAAGAGAGACATTTCTCAGTAGCTTGTTGAAGCAGATCGTTTCCTGAGACCTCCCAGATCGTAAGAAACTGACATCCCTGTCTTTTCGCAAAGCTCGTGTGAGGGGATTCTAGATCCATAAGCCCCAGGCAGATGCTGTCACTCATTCCCGGGCCCTGCTTCCTGCAACAGGAGCGATGGCCTGTGAAGTATGTCCCTTTGACCATGGCTCTGCGGTGTCTTGGGCCCGGAGTGTCACCCTGGACATCTGTTTAATAAGCTTTTCCATCCTCAGCAGCTTCCCATCACCGAGGTGACCAGCGCACAGGAGCCATCCAGGGCAGCAGGGGGAGCCAGAGCCGTCAGCGAAGCCATTGACAGAATCGGCCTCTTGGGGAGCAGGTACTTACCAAGAGGACTTGAAAACAAAAACAAGAAACCCATAGCATGCAGCCTTGAGGACCTGAGGTTTTTCTTTGCTTTTCCTATGTTACTCTGGACCATTTAAAACTGTTCCTTTAGACTGAACCCTCCCTCACGGCCACTCCAGCCAAAATGCAAAATTGACTTGATTTCTCTCAGGCAAGTGTCTTTTTGCTTGTTCAGTTTGGTCCAACCTGTGTAGAGCTCCAGCCTCCTCAGAGGTTTCCCAGACAGCGGGAACTGGTTCCCAGATGGCCTGAGGTGGGGCTGGGGGTGAGGGGGAAGGGAGGGGTCCAAGGCAGCGCCCTTGGGACTTCTTTCCTCTGTTAACATTGTTCTAATGCAGCGTTCTGTCCCTGAACATGCAGCATCAGTCATTGGAACTGTCAGATTTCATTATTAAAATAAAGGCTTTCCTCTAGTCCTCAGGCAAAACTGATCTTCAGAAAGCTGCGCCCGGTTGAGCCTGTACTTGCAACACGCACGGCCCATGGATGCGGAGCCTGCTCCCTGGGCTGAGCACGTGCCCGGCCTGCCGAGGGCGAGGGCCCCGTGGCCGTAAACAGCGCCCGCGGGGAGCGTGGGCAGACCACACGGCGGGTTTGGAGTGCTGTGGCCTCAGAAACAAGGCGCACAGTGCTCTCTGGCCAGGGGTGGGCCACCTTTGTCAGTAAAGGGCCAGATAGGAAGTACTTTGCGCTTTTCACTTTTTTGTGTGTTTGTTTTAACCCTTTAAAAACATAAAAACCATTCTTAGCTTTCAGGGCATCCAAAGACAGGCCACAGGCTGCCTCTGACCACAGGCGCTGTCCGTGTGCCCTGTGGGGGCCCTGACCAGCTCTCAGGGAGGTCCTGCCTCTGACCACAGGCGCTGTCCGTGTGCCCTGTGGGGCCCTGACCAGCTCTCAGGGAGGTCCTGCCTCTGACCACAGGCGGTGTCCGTGTGCCCTGTGGGGCCCTGACCAGCTCTCAGGGAGGTCCTGCCTCTGACCACAGGCGACGTCCGTGTGCCCTGTGGGGGCCCTGACCAGCTCTCAGGGAGGTCCTGCCTCTGACCACAGGCGGCGTCCGTGTGCCCTGTGGGGGCCCTGACCAGGTCTCAAGGAGGTCCTGCCTCTGACCACAGGCGGTGTCGTTCACTTAACTCTGATTTCGTCACTGATTTATACTTATTTATAGAGGGAGGAAAGTCTCCTGTGTGTACCTTGAACTGTATTCAAGGCGAGTTTAGTTGACCCTTGAACAACATGGGTTTGACCTGCGTGGGTTCACTTATACGTGGATTTTTTTCAGTGACTATACAGTTGGCCTCACATATCCCTGGATTTTGCGTCCGCGGATTCAGCCCACTGCAGAGGGAGAGCATGTTTTCATCCAGGGCTGGGAGTGCACTATGCACAGGGCTGACTGCACTGGTCCACACTGTTCTGTTTACTTATTTTTATTTTTTATTTTACTTACTCATTCATTCACTTTTGATCCTCACCTAGGGAGATTTTTTCATTTATCTTCAGATAGAGAGGGAGGGAAGGAGAGAAAGGGAGATAGAGAGAGAAACATCGATGTGAGAGACACATCAACTGGTTGCCTCCCACACAGCCCCGACCAGGGCTGGGGACAAACCGCAACTGAGGTACGTGCCCTTGGCCATTATCGAACCTGTGACTCATTGGTCCACGGGCTGATGCTCTAACTGCGGGGCCAAACCAGCCAGGGCTGCACAGTTTACATATAGGACTTGAGCGCCCAGGGAATTTGCTCTCCGTAGAGGGTCCTGGAATCAATCCCACACAGATACTGAGGGACTGTAGTTCAGGTTGGGGGGAGTCAAAAGTTATATGCAGATTTTCAGCTGTGTGTGTTGGGGGGTTGGCACCCCTAACCCCTGCGTTGCTCAAGGGTGAACTGTACCTTCCTCTCACACTGTTGTAGAACAGAGTGTGGTGCCTTTGGTGGGAATGTTCTCTGTGTGTATCACTTGTTACCACCTGTTTACTAAAACAAGTCACATTTCAGACAACAGCAGAAGCTTCTGAAAGTCCTCCAGGTCATCGAAAGTGACTCTGCCCACGTCAGCCGGGTGGCTTCGCCAACTGAGGAGCAAGTGCTGGACCCAGAGGTGAGCACCTCGGCCCCCGGGCCTTGCCTGAGAGCTGAGGTTGGCAGGGCCCCAGGGGGTGCTCTGACGGCGGACACTGAGCATCTTTCTGCCGAGTCCCATCTCCCGTCCTCCCCGGCACACAGACAGACTGTGGGGCAGCAAGGCGTCTCGGCCTGTCCACAGGAGGAGGTGTAAATGGCATGTGGTCCAAGGCCACTGGTAATCAAGAAATGCAAATGAGAGCAACTGAACGTCCTGTCGGACCCTGAGTTAATCAGTGGTTTGATGGTGACCTCTGGTGCGGGCAAGGCGAGAGAAAGCTGCGTCCCGCCCTGCCGGCAGCCGCGTGCACGGTGGGCACTCTCGAGGAGCAGGAAGGCTGGCCTCGGGAAGATCTCAGAAATGCTTGTCTTCCAGCCCAGTAATCTCCCTTCCGTCCCCTAAGGCAGCGGTTCTCAACCTGGGGGTCGCGACCCCTTTGAGGGCCGAATGACCTTTTCACAGGGGTCGCCTAAGACATAACAGTAGCAAAATTACAGTTATGAAGTAGCAACGAGAATAATGTTATGGCTGGGGGTCACCACAACAGGAGGAACTGCATTAAAGGGTCGTGGCATCAGGGAGGTTGAGACCACTGCCTAAGGAGACCACTCAACAGAAAAGAACAGATGTCTGCCGCCGAATTACTGAAGTAGAGAGAAACGAGGAAAACCCCAGAAATGACATAAGTGTCTCTTAGTGATGGAGGTGGTTGGGAGGGTGTGACAGGTCCGCACGGTGCAGTGGTGCAGGAGGATGGACATCCACCTCACGAGATGACGCAGGTAGAGATGTTGAGCTGCAAGGTAACTGCGCCAGGGGACGGAGCCTCCATCTCGTCCAGCGAGACGGCAGCAACTGCGCACAGGGCCTGAGCGACGCAGCCGAGACTCGGGAGGGCCTCGGGGAGGCCAGTGGGTGTCGTCGGCGTGTCCGGGCACATCCTCCTCGCCCTCCCTGTACCCAAGCCCTTCTTATCTGGTTGGTCAGTCTTGCAAGCGGCCATTGAGGACTCGACATGAAGCCTCTCAAAGCCACGTGTGGGGCTCCTGGCGGCAGCAGGAGCCCGCACCGGTGCAGCGTTGAGCCTGGCCGCCATTTCAGGGTTGTGTCGTAAGCTTCTGGTCCTGGGAGTGTGTGGCTGTTGAAGTAGGTAGATAGTGCACAGCCCACGGGCCACTGTGAGGCCGGGACGGGAAAGGCCCCGGGAGTGAAGGCGCGGCGCCTGGCACAAGGCAGGAGGAACGGGGACACGGCAGCCGAAAGTCTGCCATCGTGGGAGACCTCGCGAAATCACAGCTCTGTTCCCTGCATGGAAGTTGCTTTCAGCTGTGAAGATCCTAAGCGTGGTGAAACTTGGAAACGGCCTGGACCGATCGCATCTTCTCATATTATAGGGACAGAACACGTAAGGCAGACTGATTCACACAACAAAGAAGAAAGATGACAGTCTTGTAGTAAATGCCACAGATGGACCCGGTGGGGTTGACCCCACAGCTCCCGTGTCTCCAGTGTCAGCTGTGTGCCTGAGCCCCCTCCCCACCACCATGCCCAGTCCCAGCTCTGCTGTCGCCCTGTGGCCCCTCGATGGCGGGAGTGGTTCCCACTCTTACCCTGTCACCTCAGACCCTACAGTCAGGAGAGAGGGCAGTTCTCCCCCCCAGATCTGAGATTGAGTCACACACCCATCACTCCTGGGCGTGGGAAAGGGCTCACTCTATACCTCATGGCTGGGGAAAGAGAGGGGTAACTTCCCCCAGGGAAATCAGGTGGTCCTGGTGCGAGAGTAGCCGTGAGTGCCAGGCCCCGAGCCTCCTGGCCAGTGCTTGCCTCAGGCCCCTCCCGGGTGTAATCACACCGCTAGAGCAGGAGCAGCGTGGAGTCGCACAAGTGTGACTGCCTCGGTCGAGAGACCCTTCAGCATCTGCGTTTGGAAACTCCGCCGCGGGAATTTGCACTGAAGTGCGACCCGGCAGCCCCTCTGCGAGGAGCTGGCCGCCGTCTGGGCCTCCTGGCAGCCAGCGCCACTGTGCGCAGTGCCTCCTCGCCTCCCACACCACTCCCCTGGCAGGGGGCGCCCTCGCAAGCACATGCTTGTTAACCTCCAGCCCCCCACTTCAGCCAGGCCAGCTTAGGGTGATCACCATCCTCCACGCCTGGACTCAGGCCCAGGGCAGCAGAGGGCTTAGCCAGGGCCTTGCACGGCACGGGAGGAGGAAGCTGTGCGCTCTGTGGGCCGAGCTAATAAAAACAGACCCTGTTCCTTCTGGGAGCTCTGCACTGACCTCCCTCCCTCCCCATCGCGTGGCAATCAAGGCTCCTCCAAACACATGCTGAGAGCCAGAGCACGTGTCGCTGGCTATTAATTAAAAAAATAAGCAGGGAACACTTGCTGTTCATTTGCTCAGCACCCTGCTCACGGACCCATTGCAGATTACCAGTGCTAATTAACAGGGGGCACGTGCGTGCAGGGACGCGCCATTTTACCAGCGACTGATCCGTGGCTACCAGCGCTGCAGTCGGGGCCCGGGGCCCTCAGGAGACCATTCCACAGTGTCGTCATTGGTGGGTGGCATGCAAGCAGCCTCTCAGACCTAGTGGCCTACTCACGAGGGAGGCAGGCATTAAAGCCAAGGAAGGAGAGCCCTGGCCCGGTGGCTCCGTGGAGCGTCGTCCTGTACACCAAGAAGGTTGCGGTCCGATCTCTGGTCAGGGCATATGCCTAGGCTGCGTGCAACAGTCGGGGCACGTACAGGAGGCAACCCATTGATGTTTCTCTCTCAAAATCAATAAAACACATCCTCAGGTGAGGATTATAAATAAATAAAGATGAAGTTTGCCTATTTAAAAAACACAAAAAACAAAACAACGGAGAGAAGTGGGGGGATCGGACATTACGGAGTGCCCTCGAGGCCAGGACTTGTGACAGGGACTGCTCTGGTGCTCAGGCCTCGCTTAGTCTCTGTGACAGGCAGATGGTGTCACCTCAGTCCTCAGCTAGACTGAGAGATGTCAAGTGACAGGCCACTTGTCCGGGGTCCTGTGTTATCTATGTGCTGTTTCCTGGGCCTGTCCTAACAAAAGACCACAGTCTGGGGGCTTAAAGAACAGATTTCCTTCCTCCCACTCTGGAGGCTGGAAGTCCGAGGCTACGGGCATGGCAGGCCCGGTGCGTCCGGGGCCTCTCTCCTCGGCTCACAGACGGGCCTTCTCCCGTGTCCTCACGTGGCCCTTGCTCTGTGCTCAGGCATCCCTGCCGTCTCTCCAGGTGTCCAAATATCCTCTCACAAGGACACGGGTCAGAGTGGATTAGGGCCCACTCTTACGGCCTCATTTTAACCTAATTACCTTTTTTTTTTTAAATCCTTACCTGAGGATATTTTTGTTTTCTATTTATCTGCAGATTGAGTGGGAGGGAGATAGAGGGAGAAAGGGAGAGAGAGAAACATCGACATGAGAGGGACACATTGACTGGTTGCCTCCCGCATGACCCCTACCAGGGTCGGGACAAACTGCAACCGAGGTACGTGCCCTTGACCGAATCGAACCCAAGACTCATTGGTCTGTGGGCCGACACTCTAACCACTGAGCCAAACCGGCCAGGGCCCTAATTACCTTTTTAAAGGCCCTGTCTCCAAGTACGGTTATACTTTGAGGTACTGGGTTTAGGACTTCAGCATGAATTTGGGGGGGACCTTCCCAATTCGGCAGGGTTGTGACCTATTGCACATGAACACTTGGTGGGGAAGAGAACCGCATGATGTTCAGACAGGAGCTGATGCCTTTTAAACATTTTTTATTATTTGCAAACTCTGGCAGGAAACACTAAGTGCCAGAGTACACAGTAGCTGTGGTGCAGATCCTACAAATAGGAGCTCATTTAACCACATGCATCGGGTGCTACGCTTCCCCTCGGGTAGGTCGCTGTCTAGGGGCAGAGCTGACGCAGCCTGTCATGTTCTCATCTTTCGGCATTATGTGTCTCTTCTTCAAGGACACACTGAGAACGCAGGCAGAAGGAGTGAAAGATGCCATCTACGTGACAGTGGAAATCCTGTCCAACTGGGGCAGCCCGTCGTGGGTGGGCCTCACGGAAGTCGAGTTCTTTGACCTGAGCAACACGAAGCTGTACGTGTCGCCTCATGACGTGGACGTCCGTAACACCGACGCGCCCGGGGCCCTGGGCCAGCTGGTCAACAGGACTTTGGCTGTAAGTGGAGGGGCACTGGAGTGGGCCTGGGCCTTGTATTTGGAGCATTGCCTCTGCCCCCATGAAGGTGTGGAGTGAGGAGGGAAGGAGGGTGCATCTCCTAGTCGTTCATCTGGGCCACGTGGGAAGGAGCCGCAGAGAAGGTGCCGGGAGAGGCCTCCAAACGCCCCCTGCTCTGATGCCTGCGCTGTGGGTTTTCTTGGGAGAGGGGGACCAAGGGGAGCCAGTTCAGCCCCCATTCTCCATCTTGCAGTTTACCACAGGTACCGCCAAACACGGGACCTTGGGGGTTACCGAGGCCAGCGCCCCGTTTTGTAGGTGAAGAAACTAAGCCTTTGAGAAGGGCTTTGACTTAGCCAAGGGCACGCAGCCAGAAGGTGGTGGGGCCCCGTGCACATCCGCAGCCTGGCCCAGGGCCCGTGTCCACCCCCTCGGGGTCCTGCTTCCTTGGGGCAGGGAGTACGCACCCACAAACGTGAATGCTCCTTTTCTTTAAATATCTAATGGTTTTTGGAAAAAGCATTGGCACTTCCTCTTCCTGCCACTGCATGTTGGACACGAGACCGTGAGCTCACCTGGACAGAATGCCGCTGCCTCCCATCTTCTTCCTGGGAAAGGCCGGAGAGGCTGGGAACAGGGTGCCTCTGGCCTCAGAAGCTTTCCCCTGGGTGCTCTTCTGCACCTTTTACATTTCCTTCCATGTACATGTAAAACACTATTGAAAACGAAAGCAGTTACCACATGTTCACCATGCCAGGCACGGACATATAATCTGATTTACACCTAACTACCCAGGCTGGAGGAGCAGCAAGGCCTGGGTGCAGAGCTTACCATTCACAGCTTCGTGACCACGGGCAACTCACCTTACCTCCGCTTTACTTTCCTCATCTGTAAAATGGGGCTAATAGCCCAGCCAGTGTGGCTCAGTGGATTGAGCATTGTCCCATGGACTGAGAGGTCCCGGTCTGATTCCTGGTCAGGGTACATGCCCGGGTTGCGGGTTCGCTCCCTAGTAAGGAGTGTGCAGGAGGCAGCTGATTGGTGTTTCTCTTTCACATAGTTGTTTCCACCTCTCCCTTCCTCTTTCTCTGAAAATCAATCAAAACATATTTTAAAAAATAAAATGGGAATAATAATAATACCTTGGTGCGATGTAGTAAGGATCAAATGTAAATATTCAGAGCTTAGTACCATCCCTGGCTCTTCCTAAAAGCTTCAAAAATCAGTTATTACTGTTTTCATTGTTATTATTATTAATAGTATTAAGACTGCTAACAAGTAGATATTACTATTCCCATTTTAAACAAAAGGAAACAGAAAGGGGGCATTTGAAATGCTCAGTTCTACACCCTAGCTGGGTTTCTCAGTGGTTAGAGGGTTGGCTCATAGACCAGAGAGTCCTGGGTTTGGTTCCCGCTAAGGGCACATACCTCGGTTGCGGTTTGTCACTGGCCCCGGTTGGGGTCGTGCAGGTGGCAACCAGTTGATATGTCTCTCTCACATCGATGTTTCTCTCTCTCTTCCTCCCGCTCTCCCTCCCGCTCTGTCTGAAGATAAATGCAAAAATGGCCTCAAGTGAGGATAAAAAAAAAAAAAGAAATTCCCAATTGTAGAGTCCTAGGGTCCCGGGTTCTGATCGTCGGTGACTTACCTGCCTTCTCTGAGTCTGTTTCTCAGCCCCTGTGGAGTGGGAGGGTGGGCTATGGATAATCCATTTTGGCTCCTGATTTCCAGTAACAGGCACCAAGTCGGCTCACTTTAGCCGATTCTTTAAAGGAAAATGTAAGACGCAGCTTTTGAGTAGCTTGTGCTCACTGTCTCCCAGGCCAGGAGAGCGTGGGCCCATGGTCATGGTGGGGCTCAAGGCAGCATTCTGGGGTGCATGTGCACCGCGGGTTTGGTCCTCATTCGGGGGAAACGGTCAGTGTTTTGTTGGTTGATAAGTTGGGTAGTTGGTCTGCCGCCCTGTCACTCTGCTGGAGATAGCCCGTCCAGAGAAGCCTGGTGGACGGACCAACCTGGCTGGGAGGCTGCCACCTTGCTGCCAAGGCAACCGAGATGCTCCGTGTGGGGAGGGAATTGTCCCTGAGGAAATTCAGTTGTTACTGAAAGAAAGGTGGGCTAGATGCGAGATGGCCGAGAGGCCCCCCCTCCACAGGGCCGGGCCGGGGAAGGGAGGCAGTGCCTGACCTTCCAAAGAGCAGCAGGTCCCAAGGGTCACAACCATTTGGAGGCTCTGGCCTTGCGAGCCCTGCTCTGCTTCCTGCTCCGAGCCTGGCGGCTGCCACGCACACTGCGGGCTGAGCGGGACGTGCACCAGCCCCTGCCTCCCCGCTCCCAGCCTCTTTGCACAGAGCAGTGGTGTTTTGGAAGCCTGCTGTACAGAACAGATCATACCAGGGCCTATAAAAAGCACCACTGAATTTGATGGGGACCAATTCTGATGATTACTCTCCCTTTTCCTCTGTTTAACGGAGGCTGATGAGCTTTGCCGTGTGAGAGCAGTGAGGACTTCAGCCTGTCGTTTTTGTGGATTTGGGTTATTCTATTTTGGGCCCTGAGGTTGGTACATGAGGCAGCTGTTTCACCCCAGGCTGTTGGATCCCAGGGTTCAGCTGTGGGTGGGCTGGAGTCCCCCTGCTACCCTGGCCTGGGGTCTCCCTGATACCGTCCTGTGGCCAGGCCCAGGGCTGCCGGAACACTCTGCCTCTTAGAGCCATCCAGTTTCCCTGGGGTTTCTTAACGACCCGCAGTATGCCAGCCAGGGCCCCAGACGTCCCTCATCCACTCCTCACGCGGACTCTACGTTTGATAAACGAGAAAACCAAGTCTCAAGGAAGATAAGTGACTTGCCCCAGGCCACACTGCTATGGAGTGGTTGAGCCGGCTGAATGCTGAACAGAGGCAGCTGGAAGTGAAGTCCAAGTTCAGAAGAGAAGCTGCTTGAATGGAGGTGAGCTGGGGACACTCCGGAAGACGAGGGTCCCATGTCATTGTGGGCCTCCTCGCCTCGCTGCCCAACCATCGCACACTGGCCTCGCCAGGCCCTCGGCTCCAAGGAAACGCCACAGCTATGCACCCAGGCCCGCCTGCGCCTCTGAGCCCCTGCCTGGAAGGTTAGCTTCCTGCTTGAAATCTCAGACATCAGAGGCCTAAAACCTCAGTTTTGATTCTCTTGCCTGCACCCACATCTCTTCTTCCTCCGACATTCCTGCGCTGTCTGCACAGCTGCCCAAGCCCACCATTAAGTCTTCCTTGATTGCCCCCCACCCCACCTTCCACCACCAAAACAGCTAGGTGTGGCTGGCCCGGTCCCCATTCCCACTGGTATTTCCCGAGTCTGATCAGTGGTTCCCTCTCACTGACACTGTTAAATGGCCTCCTGTCTCCTCTTCTGTTCTTGCCCAAAATGCCCATTTCTTACTCTGTATCCAAAGGGATCTTTAAAAATTAGCTCACATCCTCCCTTTCTTAGAACTGTTGCCCTGACTTCATGTTGTACTTAGAAGTGAAATCAGATGCGTCCCCAAGGCCTGGGGGCTGTCTGGGAACAGGCCTCCGGCTCCCTCTCTGCCCTCGAGGCACTGCCCTGCCTCACTGACACGGCCCCAGCGGCCACAGGCCTCGTTGCACACCAGACCTGCCACGTGCATGCCCACCTCTGGGCTCTGCCCTGCCTCACTGACACGGCCCCAGCGGCCACAGGCCTCGTTGCACACCAGACCTGCCACGTGCATGCCCACCTCTGGGCACTGCCCTGCCTCACTGACACGGCCCCAGCGGCCACAGGCCTCGTTGCACACCAGACCTGTCACGTGCATGCCCACCTCTGGGCACTGCCCTGCCTCACTGACACGGCCCCAGCGGCCACAGGCCTCGTTGCACACCAGACCTGCCACGTGCATGCCCACCTCTGGGCACTGCCCTGCCTCACTGACACGGCCCCAGCGGCCACAGGCCTCGTTGCACACCAGACCTGCCACGTGCATGCCCACCTCTGGGCTCTGCCCTCGCTGCCCCCTCTGCCCAGAACGTCCTGCCTCGATTCTCACATGGGTGGTCTCTTTCTCCTCAGATTTCAGCCCAACTATCACCTTGTCAGCAAGACTTCCCTGACTGCAATCTGGAGGAGTCCTGTCCCTTCCCTACCCTGGTCTCTAGTCACATCTTCCTTTTTCATTTTCTTCAGAGCACTTCTCACTACAAGAAATGGTCTTGTTTACATGTTTATTCCTTGTCCCCCTCATGGATCTATCAGTTCTTGCCTATCCTATTCACACTCTACTGTAGCACATAAAAGTGCACAATACATTTATTGAAATTTTTATTTGGAAATAATTACAGAAAATTGTAAAAAAAAAAAAAAAAAAAAAATACAGAGAGCAGAAGGACAATCAGTGAAGTTAAAAGTTGTTTTTGAAAGGGTCGAAAAAGTAACAGAAATTCAGCTGGATTGAGCCAGAAAAAAAAGTGAAAAGATTTAAATCAGTAAATTCAGGAATGAAAGAGGGGACATTACCACAGACATTCCAAAAATAAAAATGATTAAAGGGAAAATTATGAACAGTTGTATGCCAACAAATTAGATATTATAGATGAAATGGATAAATTCCTAGAAAGACACAACCTCCAAAACTGACTCAGGAAGAAATAGAAAATTTGAATAGACCTATAGCAAGTAAAGAGATTGAATTAGCGATAAAAAAAAAACTTACCACAAAGAAAAATCCAGGACCAGATGACTTTATGGTAAAGCCTACAAACTAAAGAATTAATACCAGTTGTTTACTTTCTCTTCTAAAACACTTACCAACTTATTCAGTGAGGCCATTATTACCCTGATACCAACACCAGACAAAGACATCACAAGAAAACTACAGACCAACATCTCTTATGAATGTAGATGAAAAATCCTTAACAAAACACTGGCAGATTGACTCTGGCAGTTTAAAAAAATTGCCCGGCCAGGGTGGCTCAGTGGTTGAGCATCGACCCATGCA